TGTGTGTGTGTGTGTGTGTGTGTGTGTGTGTGTGTGTGTGTGTGTGTGTGTGTGTACACACACACACACACACACACACATATATTCTTGTATGATTCATGAACAAATATAATTATATATAATTACAGGTAATACTTTCATTTTTCACTAGCTGCTTTTTTGCATTAGAATGTCCAGTTTTTGGTTTTGGTATAGTTGTACAGCAAGTGCGCATTACGTATTTCTAATCCTAGCTAAATTTTCTAGATATGGGGGGGGAGGGGAAATGTTTGTAACCTTGCTTGTGTAAATCAATAAAATGTTTCTTTAAAATATTTTCTTCAGAAATAAAGATTTGTAAAATTGTTTTTATAATCATATGAACAACCTTTATTGTACTAGTGTAATAGTATTGTGGAGAGACTTCAGATTGCCTCCAGAACACCTGAGTAACCCCAGAAGAAGCTACAGGTGGCCTAAAATTGTTTCATGTGCTTTGAATGAGGTTTGTAAAATGTATGAACCCAACTGCCCTTTCCAAATTGGTCTAAATAATAATAAAATGTATCCAGATGCAACAGACTGGTGGTCTGTTGAAGAGATGGTAGCCTCATTTCAGGTTCAAAATGTGTAACTACTAGATGAGAGGGCTTGCTTGTGTCCGTCCCCCCCCCCAATTTATACAATATACTCAGATTCCAGATTTCCATTAAAAATTGTGCTATTTTTTCTGTAAATAGTTGTCATACTTGAAAAAGACCAATGGGTGCACAGTTCTATCGTGGTGAGTTTATTAAATGAAGAAAATAATTTCGGAGAAAATAATTCCCTTAACTTGTGAATGTAACACTCACTCACAGATCTCCCTAACAATTCTCCCTAAGAATTGCTGTTCCTTAAAATGACCTCAAGATGCTTTATTTTAATTCATCTGTAGTCTGTAGCGATGTGTTTAATTTTATATTAAGCTGAGCTGACCCGGAAGTGTTTCCCACCTTCTCCAAACACAAGTGTTGCTGTATGCATAATTTGTGATACCTCAGAAGTGGTGACTGAGGTAATAATGCCAGCAGAGGCTGCTTCTGCTCAGCTCCTATTGGCCACCTTGCGCCACACTGTGCACTCCCATATTGTTTAGCCCTACAGAAAATTGTGCCTTCTCAGTTGCTAAATGGTTTATTCAGAAAGTATGCTATTTAAAGACTACATACAGTATATGATTCTTGAGAAAGGCAAATCCTTCTGTGTTGTTTCCTTTTCCAAAGCAAGCAACTTTGAATTGCTGACCTAGAGGCAGGAGCAGTGGACAGTTACAGTGTTAGTGCTTGGCAGATGAATCAGAATAGCACACCCATCTATCGGTCAACAACTGTTTTTAAACTGAATTTGCAACCTAGTGAGAAAATCTGCATTGGGCCCAGGAGCTTCCCAAGATGGCAGGAGAGTCTCGTAGATTAAATTCCAACAAATTTATTTTATAGCCATCTGTCCATTTTTTTCTATCCTCATTCTTTTTTTTCATTCTTTTACTGCTTTCTTCAGAGCAGCAGTTTGTGTGTTCTGTTTTTGAAAAGCAATAGATGTTGAACCATTATATTTTTCCATATTTACTGCAATTAAATGTGTTAGTATAATTTTGATTTCACAAATGAAGTAGGATTTATATCATGACTTTTTAATTAACATTTACAGAAGAGCATGATAGGAAAGTTCTAAAAGATTTAGTTGATCCTAAAATTCAGATTCAAGTCTTTGTTCCCAGAAAGAAAATTCTATCCAGAATTTTAATGTGAACCTTCAAGGTTTTTTACTGAGCAAAGCTATCTGTCATGTGTACATGTTCAGACCGTTTGCACTGAACACCACAATGAAAAAATGCAGTTCCCCAGTAGCAAGATTTGTTCAATGCTTGGCAATGTGAGATATAACTCCATTGGTCCTAGGTATACAGCATTTACAAGTCAAATACCACTTTAATAAAGACCCCAGAGGCAGTGTGCTTCAAAGTTAAAATGGGCACAAATCTAAATAATTTAGCTATGTCTTATCTGAGTCAATATATATGCAAAGAACCCAGAACCTTTTTATCATATTCATTTCCCCTACATGGCTCTTGGGATCTGAAGGGTATGGTTTGCCTTTTGAAAGAAACAAGACCATGCTGCTTCAGATGCCACCCAGAGCTGCTAGGGAAACATTTGTGCGAGAGATGAATGCCAACTACCATGAGCTAGAATAATTTGTTAGTTGCTTTTTCTATTGTTAATGCTAGAAGCTTCAGTTTATGAGGTTGGGCTTATTGCAAGTCCCTCATACTGAGCTCTAGTATGGTGAAGAGTAGAATTCTTATCAGTGGAGGCATTCTTATACATCCTGTTCTCTTAAAAGAAACATATTAATAAAAGATTGGCTTTAGCAAAGTTTTCAAGGGTACAGAGGGGCTTGGATTTCCACTAATGTTTGTTTACTCTACAATATGCTCCTATGTATGTGAGTATTGTTCTGCTTTTGCATGGAGAATGATTGGAATATGGAATTTGCCAGCCTTACTAATGATAGTAGCATATCCTTTTTGTGGTATGACCATACCAAGTAGAGAGTAGCTTTTCCAGTTAGGATTAGTCTGCTTTGATGCAGCAACTTCATCCCTGAAAACCTGAAGTCCATCCCATGTGAATCTCTCTCCTTGGCAACTTATGCTAAGGAGCATGCAGTTGGTAGGACCTGAAAGAATAAAGATAGTCAGTATCAAAAATGCCATTTTATTGGAGTCCCATTGCAAATCCATTCCCAGAGGATTAAGCACTATTCTAGGCTTTCTACTAGCCTGGTGTTGTGGTCTTACCTGGTTTACTTGAATACTAATGCCCTTGACCTACACATGGCAGAGTTTTTGTCACTTATATAAACAGAAATAAAAATGTGGTCTCATAATCAGTTAAAAGAATTTATTTTATTCTGTTTTCATGAAATAATAAAATGGGAGGAACGTATGCAGATTTCCAAGCTCAGTTTTCATTATGAGGTTCCAGCCTTACCGTTCCTTAATTATTAGTGTGAATATTTAATCAATTTTAGCACGTCTCACTTTCCTAAGAATTAGCTAAATCTTCTAATTATTTGCCCAACCATAGGCAAGACTTATATTAATCAACATATATAAAAGTGCATAGTTAAGATGGCTCCAATATGTAACTTCTGCTTAGGGCAGGCCCCCCCAACCTCTGGGCTACAGCCCAGTACCGGGCCACAAAAGCAGCAGATGACAACATGCACACAGCTACATTTGCACAAGTGGTGGGTGTGCACATGCAGTTCCCATTTGCATGAACAGCGAGCAAGTATATGCATGCATGCAGCTCTATTTGTGCAAGTGGTGGGTGAGCGCATGCATGCACAGAGCTCTATTTGTGTGAGTGGCAGATGAGTGCCTGCATGCATGCAGTTAGTTCGATTTGTGCAAGCAGCAGGTGTGCGTGCCTGCCAGTGGTGGGTTTCAAAAATTGTTTGAACCTACTCTGTGGGTGTGGCCTCCTTTGTGGGAGTGGCTTTCCACCCATGTGGCCAGATGGGAGTGGCTTGCTGCCCATGTGACCAGATATGAAGATGCCAACGACACTTGTCAGAACCAGCTTAAATTACCTCACACACAGCACTGGCATGCATAAGAATATGATGTAAACTTGTTTTTAAAAGGCGTATTTGGTTTGCGTTAAAATAAATTCAACACACGCAATGTTCTGATTGCACCACAAACGCAGTAGTCATCCTTACTTTTCACAGAGGCACCGAGTTTTATAAATATGAGCATGATAGTGTAG